TTAATTGCCTTGGATAACATTACATGCTTTGCTAAAACTCTTCTTTCTGCACTTAGCCTACTCCTTCAAGTTTAGTTTTACATGGATGCATATAAAGGTAAGACTACTTTAAGATGTTCCAGGTTTCTGAAAGCTTTGGGAAAGAAATGACTGTGAGTCCCCTGTAAAGAATGTGTTTTATCAGGTTTTCTTTAAATTCTACCCAAGATTCAGAGATCAAATATATACACAATTTTCTGATACCAAGTGTAAGCTTCTCATTTAGTGTTGGGAAGAAAATAAGATTTTTATCTTGATGATGGGAAAAACCCAAGTCCCAGCACCTATTATCTAATTCTCTTCAGTGAGTTCCTGTTGTGTCAAATTACCCATGGTTTGTTACTTTTTTTTTTTTCCCCCTGTGACCTGAATCTCTCAAAACTTTGTGACAGCAGGGGATTGTCACCTCATTAAACTTTTGTATGGCTTTGGAGCCAGGACAGTCAGTGTTTGAGAACAAATGAGTCTGAGCATCAGAAGAATGTTTTGTGCCTGTGTAGAGTCCCAGTTCATAACTGCCAAGTTTAGGCAACTGCTTATCTTTGGGCTATTCTTAACCTCAGCAAACATGTATTGCAAACATTTCCAGCATGTCTAACCTTGCTGTTACAGCTCAGTCTAGAGTACAACTTCTTTTTTTAAAAAAAGAAAAAAGGAAAATTCCATCACAACTTTGTGACCATCAAATTTTTGGAACATTAGAAATAATCAGCCTTTAACGGTTAGAAGCTGTAGTATGGAAAGGTGTGTTTAGTGTTGGCAGTGAGTGTAGAAAAAAAGTAACTGGTCTTAATAGACATCAAAAATACTTAAGTAACACAGACATTTTGAGAAGATGATGTAAGGTTAAGATACATCTCCACTTAGTCTTCATGTAACTTGCTTGTTTTTTTTCTCTTGTAGTAATAGCAATGTTGATTTCTACATCTCTAATGTTTCTGTTCTTTTCTGCTGTATTTTGCTTTTGACTTG